GAAAAAAGTGTCATGCTCCCTCCCCACCCACCCTCATTCCCCACCAAAATAAAAGTTTCCTTTTCATTTAAAAGTTGCTTTCTGTTTGTCTGCTGGGATGTTCTCCTGATTGGGGTTGGGGGTTCAAGAGTGGAGCCACATTAAGGAGGAAAGGGTGTGGACTTTGGTGACCCAGATACGAATCACCCTTTTTTTTTTTTAAAAGAATTATTTAAACCACCAGGTGACATGGTGGTTAAGGTGCTGGACACTCCCACATGATAACCATGGTTCAAGTCTTGGACCTGGTAGTTTTATTTTCTCACATTCTCTCTCTTGTCAAATTAAGGAAATGAATAAATAAAATTAAATAATTCTTTTTTAAAAAAGGGGAAAATACTTATTTAATTTTGGGGACTGGCAGATGGCGTGGTGGTTAATGAAGCTAGGTTTCCACCTGGCTGACCATGGTTTGAGTACCAGACTTGGCAGCTTGCTTTCTCACTTTTTTCTCTCTTTCTCTGGACAACTTCAATAAAATAAGAATAATGATGAATAAAACTAAATAATTCAAAAATGATTATTTAATTATTTTATAATTACATAATTTAATTTAAAATTATTTTAGAATTATTTTATTCTTGAATTTCAGTTTGATCAGAGAGAAACAGAAAAGTGAGAAAGCAAGCTGCCAGGTTCGGGATTTGAACCATAGCCAGGTGGAGTCCAGCACCTCAACCATCACGCCACCCTGCTAGTCCCTAGATATTCCCTTGATCACCGGTTTTAGCTTTGTTATCTGGGGGTTAGTACCTGCCTCAGTTTCCCCAATGGTAAAACCGGGGGTCCATACCCTGACTGGGAAGTCTGTGAGGACAGAGTATGCCATGGGCCCCTAGAAGAGGGTAGTCAGTTCACAGGGGAGGAGTGGTCTTAGTTCTCAGTACAGGCTCGGAGGAGTCGGTCCCGCGCTCCACAAAGCTGACTCTGAGGCCAAACCGTCTCCAGCTTTCCAACCCAGTTACTAAGCTGCTCCCTTCCTGTCCTCGGAAAAGCTGCACAGCCTCTTCAAAAGGGCGGGTGGGTGTGAGTCACTTGTTCACAAATATTTGCTGGATCCTTCTATGCAGCGAGCAGAGGGAGACAAGGGCCCTTCCAGTAGGGCTGGGCTGACGGGTGGAGACTGACACCTGCTCAGCAAGGCCCCTGGTTTTCTGTCTGTAAGCTCAAGAACTGGTCCAAAGGCAGCATCACTTTTTGCACTCAGTGACTGGGAGGCTTGGAGCAAGGGACAGGCTGCTCTGAGCCTGTTTCCTCCGCGGTTTAGTGGAGGGAATATCGTGGCGCTAGGATGAGGAGTAAGCAAGGATTCCCCACTGAGCGCTGGTGGCACAACGCGACCAGGGCCAGAAGGTCTCCCTACTAGCTGCGCACAGTCCGCCCCACCAGAGACCCCCTGCGGGAACACACAGGACACAGCGACAGCGAGGGGCCAGTCTGAGGGTGGAATTTATTTCTGCCAGCGCCTGCGGGAAACTCCGGACCTGATCACGTAAGAGCAACCAGAAGGGAGGGCGGAGCGTGGAGCGAGAGGGAACCACGGGTCCGGGTCCCCTTCTCCCGGTCCTTTGCGAGGGCCCAGGGCTGGAAGCGGCCTGGGGCGAGGCCTGTCAGTCAGCCTTCGGGGGTGCTGGGCGGCAGAGCGACTACGTGGAGAGGGAGGAGAGAGGGA